AAACAAAAAAGTATGGTATCAGAGAAATTTTTTAACTAAACAATAATTCCATTTGGTATGCATGTAAACCCACCAAAAATTTTAAATTATAAATGCAAAAACTTAAAAAAAGATGTCTAAGTATTTAACTTATGATAAAAATAGTTTTTAATACTGGTGAAATCAAAACAATTCAAATAAATTCCTTATGATTCTCAAAAGTACTCTAGCAATAATGCAACTTATATTTTCTGATCATTGGAATTCTTTTTTAGTAAGCTCTTTTCCTATTATTTTGCACAAAAATAGCTATATAGTAATTTATTCGAAAAAATTTATCATGGTAAAGCTGTCGGTAAGATAGAAACTTGTGCTGATTTATTTAACGCTTTTTTCTACATTGTGACCATTTATTGAAAAGTAAGCCCTTCCACTTTACTTATTGTTATCCCAGATGTATGGTTAGTTTAAATTAGTTATTGTTTAAGTACAAAAGTATAGTCATTTTCTAAGGACAACTATGTCATTTAGTAAGGAAATACTATCTATTTTGTTTTGTCTTTTATTACAGCCTCACATAATTATACAATAATTCATAGTTCTTAAATTTGCAAACGTGGTTTAATTACATTTATCATCACTAATATCAAGAAATTTAAAAAGCATATAACCATACAATTTGCTTTTAACTGTAATATCTAAGATAGAATTAAGCAATGAAGGTGACAACGTACTTAGATACTTAAGCAGTAACACATTATCAAAACCAAAATCATTTAAAATTTATGTACTATGGCAGCTCATATATACTGTTTCTATGACTACCAATCAACTTGTATGCTATTATCATAAGAAAAATCAAATCTTGCGTTTACTGCCAAGGTCCAAGTCTGAATAACTTTAAACTTAGAAGAATGGTCACGTTTTCAAACTTATTTTTGCTATTGAACTACTGCAAAAACAATTTCCAGAAATTTAAGGGGGGTATAACACCTATTGCTACTATCCAGATACTATGTTCCAACAAAGTGAAGTAAATTAATTATTCCTTACGCCATATTAAAAAATCAACAGCAAAATACTGACTCAATGATTTCACGCTGGAAACCATGTTTAATATCAGAAGATTTGTGTGATATCATGATTGATGTAACTCGCAGTATTTTTAAAACATGTTTATTCACAAATTTGTAGGTAAATATAGGTGAAGGTTGTATTTATAGCACTCTTAGTCTATTAATGTCAGTATTTAAAGTGACGAAAAACTTTTTAATAACATTAAAAAAGTCGAAGATTGGACGTTTACAAGAATTTTTAACTATCTGCAAGAATTGAAAAAAAAACTTTTTTGGGTGTGAATTAAACACGCAAATTTCTATGAGGCATTAATAATGTTATAAATAAACTGAAAGTGCTGTTAACAGTACCTTTATTTACTAATGCCTTTAAATTTCATGATACATATGCATCACAAAAATTGCTTGTTTCATTTAAGTAATATTACGTCACAAAACTTCTAATATCCAATTGACCTATAAAAAAGAAGTTGTTTTTAAAAATCAGACTTTATAAGAATTTTAAATTCCAGCTTGAGACCAAGAATGAAATTCCTTACAAGTAATGATGTGCATGAGTGCATGATTCCGCAGAAGCTCAAATAAAAAAGCAACTGTCTTTAAAATGAAAGGTTGTGTGTTCCAAAATAAGAAAAAATTTGCCTTATTCCTTCGTCCTGTTTAAATTCTCTTTCAACTTACACATTTGAATTTTTAAATTTAATTAAAAAATTACTTGTTACAATAAAACAACAAAGATAGACTAAGAGTGATGTGAATAGTACTTCTATCTGCCTGGAATATAAAAATTAGAAGTCTTACGAATCGTGCTTGTTGAGCTAGTGATAATATCACACAAAATTTTTAATACTTGTCAGTTACATAACCTTTCGAAAAATTTTTTTTTTTCAGGTGTGGTACTTTTCTCATCTGCTGTTTATTTTGCTGAAGCAGGATCAGAGAATTCGTTTTTTAAATCTATTCCAGACGCTTTTTGGTGGGCAGTTGTCACTATGACAACAGTTGGATATGGAGATATGACGTAAGTAACGGTCAATAATAAGTAAAAGCACTATTATGTACAATTATACCACATTTAAATCATGGCACTATGTAATATCAAAGAAAAAAAAAACATATTTGAAGTAAATGAAGATATTCCGTAAAAATACACATAATTTATTGAGATAGCACAATTTCCTAACTATACAAACCATTGGTTTGATACTAAAAATTCAGATAAAATATTTTACAACATTCTAAAGAAAAATGATTCTCTTCAACAGGAAGTAACATAGGTTAAATTATAGAACTCATATGGCCTTAATCTTTTTTGTTAGCTTTTAAATAAAATAATAATGCATTACCAGAATAAAGAAATATCTGTTACCCTAGGAATAAAGCTACAAATGAATTAAAGTGTCAGGAAAATGAAGAGTATATATATANTATCATCCTTTATATATTTCTTTTTTTAAAGAATAAATACTTACTTACGTCATGTATTTCATTTGAGGATTTTATTAAAAATAATTTAGTGTGGCATAATTATAATTTATATTCATTATTAATTTAGCCCAATTTTAGAATAGCATATTGTAAAATTAATATTTGCATATAAACATTTATGGTAACACGCATATGAAAGTATCGAAAACAATTAATTTTATTTCATGGTTCAGTGATAATGCCACAAAGACCATTTTAATGAAAAATCTAAGTAAACGCCAGTTTTACTGCAAGAAGGTCACCCACATCATCAGAAGGAGCACTGTGTTTTAAAAAAAAACTATAAGAACTCACAGACTTACTTGGTCAAAAAAGTCACACTCAATAAAATTAATCCACAGTCTCCTGCATGACAACTTACAAAACTGTTGACTGATCTAACGAGTGCTCTGATGAAAAGTAAATACTAATCTTATAGATGCTTGATAATCTTTTTTTTTTAACAAATAAGTGTCAACAGTCTATTAAATACAAAAAACGTGAGTATGTAAATTTGAAATTAAAAAACAGTGCATTTCATGTATAAAAACATAACAATGGCTGAAAACTAGTTTCTTGAATTAGTCCCACATGATCAAAACACTAAACTAGGCTAATAGAATTGAAACAAATGTCACAAATTTAATAACTTAACAACTTTGATTTTCATAACTTAAAAACATTGTCACATCACTAAAATAATGAGTACAAATATTCGCAAGACAAAATTTAGAAATAAGTACGATGGATGAAAGGTATTATTATAAGAAATTATTGTAATAATCATATTCAAGTAACGTCATGTAAAAAAACTAAGGTGCTGTTAAAACAAAACTAAAGTCAGCCACTAAAATTAATGAAAAATAACAAATTTACTCTGACTTCCTTAATTCAATAGTCCAAGTAACTAATAGAACTTTACTAACGTCAGTGTAGAACATAATAAAACAAAGCGCTATTGTAGTACAAACTTTAAAAATATTGAAGTTAAACTGAGTAACCAAATAAAACTACATATAAAACAAACATTAAAGTTTAAATATTCAAAAATAATAGATCAACTAATATGCATGGATACACACACAAGCATTAAATGTAAAAAAACCCGAAAGAATATTCATATGCATTAAACTCGATATCAGTGTCAACATCATAAACATCGTCACCTTTATCATCGTTTCTTCAACACAAACGATTAGAATAACTTTTATCGTAGAGTTCACCATCATTATGACTATCGTCAGTAGTATAAATAATGTCATAATTGTAAGGAATCACAATATCACACTAATTATCGTCATAATTTTATAGTTTTAACAGCAATAATCAATACCATCATAAAACAACCATTTCTACTACCTTAATTATCATCATAAGTAGCATAATCGTGTACTTCTTCATTATCTTAAACGAAAAAGTCAATAAAATTGACAAGATAAGTAAAATCAGAGAACATTATTAACAACATAATAATCATATTATTATTATCATTATTATCATATNCATATTATTATTATTATTATTATTATTATTAAAATAATAAGTGACGGTAAAATATTCAATAATATCTTTTTTATCAACATCATTGTCGAAACTAAGATAATCACCATCATTTATATCAATCTCAATAAAATTATCAGAAGCGTCAAATAAACTAAGAGGAACTTTGTTATTTATTTTGAAAGGTCGGATAATAATAAAGTTCATCATCATCTTCATCATCATACTCATCATCGTTATTATCATCGTCATCATCGACCTCGTTGTAAACATCATATCAACGACATCATCATTATAAACGATATCTTCAACAACATCATCATCGTCATTATCAATACTATTATAAAAAATTATTAACCTCATCAGCATCATCGTTATTCTCACCGTTATCGTTATTATCATAAGCATCGTTATAATCATCATCATTCACATTGTTATCGTCATCATAATCAACATTATCATTATCATCTTTATCATCATCATCATCAATAACATCGTCATCATTATCATTAACATCATCATCTTCATCATCATCTTTATCATCATTAATATCATCATCACAATCATCTTTATTATCATCATCATCATCATCATAATTATTATCATCATCATCATCATCATCATGATCATCATCATCATCGTCATCATCAATATCATCATCAGCGTCATTATCATTGTTAACATTATCATTATCATCATTATCTTTATTATCGTTATTATCTTCATTATCATAATCATCATTGTTATCTTCATCATAATCGTCATCATTATTTTCATTATGATCATTAACATTATCATTATTATCGTTATCATTCTTATTATTATAGTCATCATGATCGACATTGATATAATCATTGTTATCATTATTTTCATCGCTAATACAATCGTTATCATTATTATCATAATCAGCATCATAAATATATAAATTATAAATCTCATCATTATTATTACTATTTTTATCATCCTTTTCAATATCATTGTCATTATCATCATCGTAATCATTCTTATTATCATCATCAAAACTATTATAATTATCATAATAAATAATGTTATTATTAATCTCCTTATCCTGGTCATTATCATCGTTTTCATCATCAGAACCATTATGATTATTATCATTATCATTATAATTTTCATCATTAGCATCAATGTCATTATCGTTATTATTATTATGTTTATTATAACCATTTACATCATCATTAACATAATCATCTGCATAAATATTATTATTATCATAATATTCATTATCACTGTCATCGGCATGATCATCATCATTATCATTCTAATCATCATCATAATCATTAATATCATTTTTATTATTACTATAATTATTATGATTATCATAATTATCGTCATTATCATCATCATCATTAGCGTCATTATCTTTATCATCATTTTTATTATCATCATCATAATTATAATTATTATTATCGTTATTATTATCATCTGCATTAATATCATTATCATCAATATTATTATCATATTGATATTTATTGTCATCATCATAATTATAATCATTATCATCATTATCAACATAATTATCATGATTACCATCATCATTTTAAGTATTATCATCGTTATTATCATCATATTTATTATAATTATCATGATTAGTATCATGATTAAATTTATTATTATTGTAATAATCGTTATCACTATTATCATCATCGTTTTTAAAATCATCGTTTTTATTATTGTCATAATTATCCTCATTAATATCATCGAGATCATCACCATTAAATCAGATTATCATCATCATTATTGTCATCAGCATTTTTCTTATAATGGTCATTATCATCGATTACATTATTAAAACCATACTGATTATAGTTATCATTATTATCATTAATATTATTATCATTATCATTATCATCGTCATTATTTTCATCTTTATCAGTACTATTATCATTATTATCAACATTATTATCTGTATCGTTATCATTATCATCATTATCATCATCATCATCATCATCATCATCATCATCATCATCATCATCATCATCATCATTATTATTATTATTCTTCTTATCGTCACCACCATTGTCATCATCATCNATTTAGTGCTTCTTCTTCAGTTTCAAATCAGTGTACAGTTTATTTTTCTGATTTTAGTAACTATTTTTTAACATGAATTTTTAACTGAGTTGATTGTTTCTAAGCTTTCCAAAGTGCACCATTTCTTGTATTTGTTTTTGTTTTTATTAGTTGTGTTACTGTTACAGTAATAACTTTTATACCCATATAAGGCTTCTAAGTGTTAAACTCTTCATTTTTTTTTTTTAAAGCCTTTGTCTCTTCTACAACAAGTATAGTATTATTTTTGGTCACACTTCATTTTTTCTGTACTGCTGTCTTTGTGTATGTAAAGTTTTATAACTGTTCATTTTGGTGTTGTTTACGAAACATCAACAAGATAGTAAAGTATTAACTGTGTGGAATGCTCATTGGAATAATTTATGAACACCTGTTTTAGTAACCTGCGTGAAAAGAAGGAAACTGCTGTAGCTTATCTTGTTTCAATGACAATAATAATGATGATAATCATAAAAATATTCATGCCGATTATGATAATGATGATAATCATAAAAATATTCATGCCGATTATGATAATGATAATGTCAATAATAATAATGAAAGTAATTGTGATAATAATAAGAACAATAATGATAATTATGATAATTATAATATCATCATCGTCATCTTAATCATTGCTATCATTATAATCATTATCTTTATTGATACTATTATTATCATCATTGTTATCAGTATTATTATCTATCTTTTATAAAGTTAATTAAATCCCTCCATAATTATAATTATCATCGTTATTATCATCATTATCAATATCGGCATTATCTTTATTACTATTTAAAACTTTATTACCATCATTATTATCGTTTTTGTAATAATCATCATTATCATTAATAACATTGTTATTATTATCTGTATTATCATATACATCATCATAATTATTTTGCTTATTATAATTAATGAACTTATTAACATCAGTATTACTATTATCTGTATCGTTATAACTATCGTTATCATTGTTATTTTG